ATACTTTTCTAAATATTTTAATTAATAATAATTTTTCACTGAATTTTTCTACTCTCTTAATAAAATATTATCGAAATATTAATGAAATTATAATGAAATTTTAATGAAATTGGGTCAAAATTGTGAATGCTTTTCAAACATATTTCAGCAAAAGTTCATTATATTTTCAATGAATTATTTCCATCAGATACAAATATCTCAATTGAGATCTTACATGCGAAATTTTGCGGAAACCTCAACTGAGAATTCAATTGAGAATTTAATTGAGAATTCAATTGGGAATTCAATTGTGATCTCAATAGAAATTTTTCAGTAGGGCGGCTCCTCGGATATCGGATAGGAACTCAATAAAACCTTATCTCCAACGCCATTTTTCATTAAGTTGAATGTTATTAATGTTATTAATTAAGTTGGTGAATGTTATACTTGTTTGGTCTTTAAAAATAATCAAAAGTATATCCCAAAAAACACAGTTTACATCCGACAGACTCAAACACGGCGTTCCTTACGTTACGATTAGACCGGAACTTTGCAGTTCCGATTGGATGCATCATGTTGCTCTCGAAATCTCGATGTATCGCATCAGCTCGCGCGTGAATGTTCGATAACAGTATGTCGTCTGACACTTGATTTTCGCTTGTACGTTTGTTGACTCAATTTTGCACAACAAACTTACGCACCTTTGAATTATCTTTCGCCTTAATGGCGACGAATAACGAGGCGTGTTGTTTCATATGATCGCGGCTCAGTAAGAGAAGAACATAGACGAGACGGCGCCGAGAGCCACTCTAACCTCAAAAATACACGTCCCGTCACTTATGACAGAGTGAAGAGTCCCCGAGCGAGCTTCCCGTCGTCGAGCTTCGCAGCATGACCGTCTGGGAGAGACTGCGTAATCCGTGCGGTTGGCGCGTGGGTGCCAAGCAAATCTCCGTGGATGCGATGTTACCGCTTCTGGTGGTGCCGGCATTGGCGGTGATCGCTGCCCAGGCCGTTCTCTGCACGGTCGTCGTGTTCGTGGCGACGCCGGTCCTCGTGTATTACCTGCACCATAACTTCCTGCGGTTTCTGCTGCGCACCAAGTTCTTTCTCATGTGGACAATCACGAGCGTGCTGATGCTGATGCTTGTATTCGAGGTGAGTGTGGTGCCGCTGCTGGAGATTCTGCCTGAGGAGAATCTGCTGTTCATGGTGTGCGTGGTCGGTGGTATCTGGTGCGGTTATCGGGCTAAATTGAACGCGGATTACGCAGCCCAAGAAGGCACCCTCGTGCAGGGTCTGGAGCTGGGCGAGGGCAGTGGCGAGTTGTGTACCACGTGCAGGAGAAGGGCACCACCTAGGGCCTATCACTGCCGTCTGTGTCAGACATGTATACTCAACAGGGAATATCATTGCAAATGGTATGACAAAAGTGTCACTTTTTCCTCTCACTTTTTTTCTGGAGAACATTTGTTTAAAAAATCTTATAATCTCCATGCAATGTTATACTTAATTATTCAACAGGAAATATAATTGCAAATGATATGACTAAAGTGTCGCTTTCTGTTTTCAATTTTCTCCTAAAGATTGATGATATCTCTTGTTTAAAAAAATTTTGTAATCTAGAATCTTATAATTTATAGCAGAATTTTATAACTCATCTGCTGAAATTTTATACTTGATTGTTCTCATTCAGGCTAGACTGCTGCATAGGTTCAAGTAATCTGAGGTGGTACTTAGGCTGTTTATTCTTTTCTGCCATCGCCTTCATCTATGGTTCCAATTTAACGATGACTAGTGTCTGTCATCCGTTCATACTTATTGGAACTGTACTTCTACCGGATGATTGCAGTGATGTGTATCACCAGTTAGAGTATGTATTAATTTACTGTATTTCTCTCTGCACTTTAATATACACTAAGCACGCCGAATATGACACTGTGAAATTATTCCATGACAAAATGAAAAGTGCACGTTTGTATTGTCGCAAAAAGCGCGATTGGATGTCGCTTACACAAGTCAGACTTAGCTAAGTAAACTGGAAAGATACAGGGGATCTATAATGTAGACTTTAATAATCGCAAGATAACGATAATTGCTAGGTCTGCAAGAGAGCGTCGTAAATATTGTAATATCTTATTCACAACGGAAAAGTCCGAGTGAGAGATAACGTGTCGCGCAACTGTCTGCTCGGGACATCCGCTGATCGATCGATGTATAATCGTGTACATATTGTTTCAGCATTGCCCTTTGCTTTGTCTCCGCTCTCTACAGCCTCCTGGTCGGTCTAGTGGTCTTTTGCTATTTCATGTATCACCTTTGGTTGCTGTATCAAGGCACGACGTCGAACGAGCGACGGTTGGATGCTGGAAGTCAGTATGATCATGGAATACTAAAAAATGTCTCACGGTTATTTTGTTGCAAAACCTAGGTAGTAATTGTAGGCTAAATTAACGAATTTACTTTGCAAAGTGTACGTGCTATGCTCCGTACAAAATATATTGCGAAATCAAACTAGAGAATTATCATTGAAGGTTATCACTGAAGCTGAAAGATCTCATTTAAGACACTAAGTTACTAATGCCTATCTCTATCTACATCGATGAAATATTAATTCAAGTTTAAATCTTTGTCTAAGAAGAATATAAACTCTTAGATTAAGATTCTTGGTGTTTTGCCGCAGAATTCTTGGTTTATGACACCAAAAGTGACGAAACGCATGTCCAAAATTCTTACGAAATACGCTGCAATAAAAGGATATGTTCATAAAGTATCCCTTGGAATCGATTGAGCACGTTTACAAGATATTCCGAAAACTTTCCTTTTGTTCTCTCAACCAATAAATAACTGTTAACGTGTTATATAACCTTTCTTTTTAGTCTACCTTTCCTTATGATTTTCTCATGTTAATCTTACGGCTATTTATTAATTATTAAAGCAAAAGAAAAGTTCCCGGAATACTTTACGAATGTGCTCAATTGGTCAAAATTGTCATTTTATGAATATAATTTTTTATTTTGATGTATTACGCAAGAATCTTGAACAGTCGTCTTGTCTCTTCCGATGTTATTAATCGAGATAGCCGCAATAGGGACACAGAAGCCTTAAAGTTTAATCGACATTGGTAGAAATAGGCACAAATTAACGATGAAACGGTGAATTAGAACATACCTGTTACCATCGGTGCGCCATATCGATAGAGCGACTCTGTGTATGTATATCAGGTATATCAGTATATACTTGCGTGTTTAAAGATTCGTAACTTCAGGCGAGTACAATGTCCGCGCTTTGCTCATAACGTTGCCCTCACAGGGCCACATACGGCGACATATCGCGAATCATCAGCTCGCATTATAGTCATCATTATTCTTAATGTATCATTGTGCATACCATTTGTATATTTATTGTAACTGTGATAAAGTGGCCATTGTGTACGAGTAATATAATAAATTATACTAATCAAATATATCTAAAACACACACGAGTCCGAGTAAAGAGGAGAAATCTGAATATACAAATATATAGTGACAATTTACATTTTATATTCTGCGCAAAAAAGAACGAAAGAAAGCTGCTTTATCTTACGTGTACTTAAAGAATAAAGCTCCTCTTTACCTCATCTGGGTACAAAGCCAACAATTGTCGTGTACAGTGAAATCTACGTTACATAACATACGCACAGACACATACATACATACCTATGTGTATATATATATTCATATTATTTTTAGTCCTCTATTAATACACCCCTTTGTCTGGGATCGAAATCTGGCACTACTTCTTGCACTATCTCTCGCCACGAATTCTTGACACGCTCGCTTTCCACGATATCGGGGACTATCTTCGAATATCTTTTCCACATACAGAAGCATTTTATCTTTAATTTTTCCTCGTAATATTCCGTGGCTAAACGCTCGTTCTTCAGTCGCTCCGTTTTGTACTCCACGGCCTTTATCTTCCACAATTTGAAACACTTGTTTTGCAGTCTCATGTCCGAGAAGTCCTTCGCCACTTGTTCTTTTCTCTTTTCCTCCTTCACGAATTCTCTCCACTGCTGTAACATGCGCCACGATATATTCCTATTGTACAACACTGTGGCCAGTTCGATCTTTATTTGATTCTGATATTCTGTTTCCATCTTCCAGCTAATAAATGCTTTTCGCAGTAGACGCCGTTCGTAGTGATCGTTTGCTTTACTCATATAATTGGTCTTCCTTTCGACGAGTGCGACGAACGGCTGCATTATATAACGTCGCAACAGGTGCTTGCGATAAAACGCTTCCGCCATGGCGTTCAGTTCCTTATATCTTTCTATCTCGCGTGCCCGCTGCTGCTCCCGTTCCTCGCGCATTCTTCTTGCTTCACGCTGGGCCTGGTAAGCAATATTAAACTTGCATATACTTCTAAATGTAGCGTAAACGGCGTTAGAATAAACACGATTATATTGTAGAATAAGTTATAAGATGTAAATTAATGTGCGTATGTATTGTATTAGGTTGGTGCAAAGGATTTGTCAATTTTTCAATAGAATAGGATGTTTGGATATTAAGGCTTCTAGTTCCTCATTGCGGAACTAGATTGATAATGTCAAAAACGAGAAAATGCATACCTAAAAATCTTGCAAAGTACATCAAATATATTAACACTTTTCTAGTCGATTAAGCATATTTCTAAAATACTCCAAACATTTTTTTTGTTGTAACAATCAATAAATAACCGTAAAATTAATACAATATACGACCTTCCTTTTTAGTCTATATTTTCTCATTATTTTGCTGATATAACTCATTTTATTCGTAAAAATTATTAATTCTCAAAAATTGGATAATTTTCTTTCCTATTTTATTTGAGAAATATAACAAATTTTTTGCACCAATCTGATATATTATGGTATAATATTTAATGACGATGTCCTTCGTGACGGATAATTTTGCTCGCAAGGTAAAAACTGCGTACTAAGTGTACGTTATAATGCACATCTGGTATGATATTAATATACTTTGACCTCTCATATTATCTGACCTCTAGTTGCGATCTTCTTCTTTCACGTTCTTCCTCCCTCCGAGTGGCCTCTTCTCTTTTCCTCTCCTCCTCCAGCTTCTTCCGCCGTGTTTCTTCACGCACCTTTACCCTGTTTCGCCTCGCTTCCGCTCGCGCCTCCATCCGTGTTAAAAATTGCGGCGGACTCGGCACGCGCAACGGCGCCGTCAAAGATTTGTCTCTGTCATCAAATAAAGGCAAATGATTGAGTGATGGAAACACCACGAAGCGACGAGCCTCATATAACTCGCGTCAATTTAATCTATCGTAAGACGAAGGCATGGATTTGATTATCTCCTCTTTAATACACACTCTATTTCGCAGGCCATGAAAAGATCAATGTGTGAAGAGAGTGATGGTTTGAAAGGATGCAATTATTTAAGCGCCATGAAAATTTCCAACCCTGAACTACTTACAAATTTTTACAAATAACAGGTTCTTACTATTTCATATATATGCAATTGTTTTTTTATATGATTAAATAAAAATATTTAATTTTTCAAGGAACAATTCAGAATACAGCGACGACAGCGAGTATAGTGTACCTGTAACCCGCTTGTCTCATCAATTGGATCAGAGTTCTTCTAGTCTGCTGACCGCAATGCATCAGAGTCTCCTTGGCCGCGTTCACCGTTTGCTCGCCGGACCTCGTTATCTCCTCCTGTACCTGCTTCAACTTCAACTCCTCGATGAGCTTGTTCTGCTCGGCCAGCTTCAATCTCTGTTTGCGTATGATCTCCTTTTGAGCATTCAACCGATTCTGTGCCGGAGACTCGACAACAAATGGCTTGCAGGATGGAATTTTTTTCTTGGCATCCGTGTCTCTCGCTCCATTCGAAGAAAGACTCTTTGACTCCTCTTTAGGGCACTTCGTCAGCTGCTTCTGCGTTTCCGCGATAGTATCAACCAGCATCTCGATCTTACGAGCGTCGGAACCTCTCGTGTCTGCTTTCGCGTGTTCCTCAAGTCGAGTTTTTTTCATGTTCTCTACGTGCGTCTTCCATACGTGAATGCATCTCCTCAGTCTTCCTCGAGACACGATGTCCTGAATATTGATCTTGATTTCCCGAAGACGTCGCTTATCTCGCGCATTCTCCCGCAAAGTATCGAAACATGATCTCAGGATGCGTGATCGTTGCTCCTCTAACTCGCAGCTTGGCTTATCCTTGATGGTTACTTTAATACTACCAAAGGGTGCTCCTTCGATCTTGTTTATTGAATATCGTTCAGTGTTTTTTGGCTGGGCAGTGGAATCTTTTGCGAACGATTGCTTAGTTCTCTTCTTGACGATCGCCACCTTTCGCTCAGCTGTTTTACTTCTTCTCTTGTTAACAAGAACCCGCTATAAATATGTTTGCGCTTATCAATCTATTCGTTAAGTGATTTAAAAAGTTATTAGAAAAAATTTTTCAATAGTATAACTTAAACTTAAATTTTAATTTAAACCCTGTTTTAACAATGTGTTTGAACAGAGTTTAAATTTAAATCTAAGTTTAAATTACTAAAGTTAAAAATCGGCTTTAGGGCTGATTTTTCGATAGTAGCTTAAATCTATGTTTAAACTATGTTCAAACACATCAAACACATTGTTAGAATAAAGTTTAAACTGAAATCAAAGTTCAAACCACTATGAACAAATCGGTTCTTAAAACTTCTACTCGCCACGGTCATCTTGCTTTATGACGTTAAAAGCAAGAATGCATGTCTAAAATTCCTACAAAGTATATCGAAATAAAAAGATACATCCAAAAAATGACACTTGCAATCAATTAAGCAGACTTCTAAAATATTTCAAACACTTTCGTTTACTCTAACAATTAATAAATAACCATAAAATTAACGTGACAAAATCATAAAGGAATGTATGTTAAAAAGGAAGGTTGCGTGTCATATTTTAAGTATGCATTTCCTCGCTTCTAACGTCATCAATCAAAAGTTTCATTTAAGCATTTAATTTATCGTCAAAGATGAGCTTCACCTTGACTCTACTCGGTATTTTCCAGAAGTCCTCATCACTCGAACTCGCTATGTTTTTCTTGCTACATGTATACGGTCCGCAACATTTTGGACGATATTTTTTCAAGTCCTGCTCAAACTTGCGTAATTCCTTTTCCACAAGAGCCTTCTCTCTCTTCAACTGTTGTTCTCTCGTTTCTTCCTGTGCTAGTAGTCTACACACAATGAGAAAATCAATACAAAGATTTTTTTTTAGTAAAGTTAATAAAACAAGCGATAATGACAAGAAATCACAGATTTATCTCGTCATAATTTACAAATAATTACAAATTAAATTGGTGGGATAAACGTACCTTCTGGCTTCTGCTAATACAGCAGATTTGCTCGAAGATTTGCACAGATCTTCGCGAAATATTCTATGTCTCGCATCCATAATTATATTCGGATCCAAGAAGGGTTTCCTATCATCCTCCAGCATCCGACGTTTTTCGGACGGCTGGAGGATCGTCACTTTCATCATTTCGCCCATTATCTGCCTTGCTTCGTTGAATTGCACCATGTCTGTCAGTTCAATCAACAGTTGCTTCCTTCGTCGTTGACATCGATCGGTTCATATCGCAGACTATGTCTGTTTTTCTTGTTTATGCGTGTCCGTTGCTGTTGTTAAGGAAAGCTGCGGTCCCCCAACCCTAGGTGAATGTCCCAACCCTCATTCATAAGTTACGCGGTAAAAGCGTAGAGTGGAGATAATAAGTAGTCGAGTCGAGGAAAGAATAAAACGCTGTTGCAAATATTATTTTAAACAACGTATTGTTATATTCATTGCAAATGAAAAAATTCATGCTCTGAATTCTTAATAAAAATTATATCTATGCATTATAATATATTGTAATAATATACAGGATCCAATCTTAAGATATGATATAAGACTATTACGTTCCATAATTTATCAAACATGATGGACAGATATGTAAGAAGTAATTATTCAAAGTTTGAATATTCGAACTTTCAATATTGCGTTTTGATATTCACTGCCAATATTGAAAATTTATAATATACGTGACATTGAACCACAGATGTCAATTTCTCAAACATTCAAAGTTTAAATTTCAAAGTTTCCCGCCGTTTCAACGCTGCTCAATCGCAAGGCGAAACTGACATCGTCGGTTGTTGACGGGCCAGTACCGCTGCAGCGGGTGCATCACAGAATGAGGGGTGCATCGACTTCGAAACCTATATGCTGAGGTTCTAGTAAGTCCTCTCTCTTCAAAATACGGGTTCTCGCTTGGCGACACCTGTTTCTGCCCGCGCGTCCGCGATGACATCGGCTGCTCGCGTCGAGCTTGCGGCACGAAGAATCGCACGTTGTGGTTGAAGTGAAGGAGAGGGATTTGCTCTCCCCTTGCACTCCGTCAATCTTTCATCACACAGAACGTTCGAATGCGACTCCCTAGCAGGTGCGAACGACGAAGTATCATACCACTGGTGCAGTGCGAAACATAAAATGGATTCAAGGGGCCCTCCTGAGGGGGCCCCTGGCCATTCCTTCGAGGTAGCCACATCCTTGAATATCGACAAGGTAGTTGACACTTCAGTCAACTGGCCTACCGATCATGCTTTCGCCTCGTCTCCGTATGAGCAACCGAAGAAGGTGAACAACAGGCTGTTATTCTTGACTGTAAGTAGTGCTTGTGTAACTCTATTGTAGACTTGTATTGCTGAACTAGTTGCACTGACTTGCACCAGTTCTTTTTTCCTCTTTCTTTTACTCAATATCAATTGTATACTTGTTTCTTTTTAAGTTTCTTTAATGTACACTAATTTTCAATAATAAAAAATAGATTTTATAATCAGCTATCAATGGTATACTGGAATGATCGTTCTTTCGACAGGTGGAATATGTGGAAGATCAAACTCGAGACTATTCTCGGTTATTTCCCACTTATGAACAGATCCTCTCTCCACGAGCAGCTTCCCCTCTGTCTGAATTTGAAAATCGTGTCAGCCCATTTGATCCAAACATGAGTTCTGCTGCTAGATACTCTCCTACACCTGTCCAACTGCCTTCTCCATCTTTTCACAATTCTGTTGTTGTACTTCAAGGCCCATCTTCTCCCTTGATATCCCAGTCTGAATCAAATATAAGAACGAGTATCAATTATGTGACTCAGTTGACTCATCCCATCGATGCTCAAGCTCAAACAGATCCTTCTGCAGATTTTAATAGCAATGGGAACGAAGAGGGACTTGTATCCAGTGTCAGCAGTGAATTAATTTTGATGCAGGGTAAGGAATCATTTGTAATTTTTATTCGATTTGGATTACATTAATATTATCTAGTTTTAAGTATGTACAATACAACTATGCGATGCTTTTTATATTCTTTAAATATATCATATTAATATAAATGTGCAATATTTTTATATGTAGTATCTTAAATGTAAATTATGAATATGTATGAAATAAATATATAAATATATCTACAGAATCTACACCCGAGTTGGAATCTTCGACGACTCCGTTGATGTTAACGGGAATAACAGGCACAGACTTCACTCTTACCAGGGACTTTCTAGTGATGCAGGATGATCAAATAAATGTTATCAATACATTCAAAAACCAAAACATTGAGATAGAGGACAATCAAGGCGAGGAAAACGTGGAAGACGTTACAATCTGTAACACTTTGCCATCTGTAACGGAGGATTATAAAGTAAACAAAGAGAACAATAATGAATCTGTGCTGGAGTGTGACAAGGAAATTCAACAGATTACTGAAGGAGTGTCACTATCTGAAAAGAAGAAAACGGTTGAGAAAAAAGACGTAAGGAGATCCAAACGACATATAACGGACAAAAAAGACTTTTGTAAGTATTGCGTGAATCATTTCACGCAGTTAGTCTTAAGTATGTATTAATAAATACAGTTTATTCACATATTAAATGTGTATACTTTTATAGGGTGCGACGAGTACGACGGCAATTGCGCCAAAGATGACAGCTGTAACTTGCACGATGTATGCACTATTGCGGATCAGCCGGTACCATCGCGTGCTATAGCAACACTGCCAGGATCATATCTTTCATTAAACAAACTATCTACGTCGCATGCTACAGCGGATGGGGTAACTTACGGCGTGTTTGCGAAGCGTGACATTCGAAGACGCACGCAATTCGGACCCATGGAAGGCGTACTGTGCAAATACGACGGATCGTTCTTCGAAAATGCTTTACCACTGCTCTACGAAACTGAGAGTGGCGAATTATTCAAAGTAGACGTGTCCAACGAAAGTAAGTAATCGTCTGGTGGGAGAAGTCTGTGAGACTTAATTCATGAGATACCAAATTTAAATGTCCATTGTGATTTTTAGACACCTCAAATTGGATGCGTTTCGTTCGCCCTGCACTGACATATAAAGAACTGAACTTAGTAATCTGTCAGCAAAAGGACGGAATAGTGTTCCTAACTACCAGAAACATTTCGGCAAAGGAAGAGCTAAAGGCAGGTCCTGGTTTTGACTACGCGATTCGGAGGAATTTATCTGTACTCAAACCAGACACAAAAGATGAGAAAGGTAAATAATTGAAATAAATGATTGAATAAATGATTGAATAAAAATGTTATTACTAAGAGAAACCAAAACGCGTTCACATACTTTTCAGAGCTTCAGTACTAAAATTTCTCTGGCAACTAATTGTTGTGATTACAAAGATAATAAACACAATCTTAATGTTTTCACAAGAATTTAGGCACTAAGCACAAGTGCCTACATTCTAAAAGGAATATTTTATGATTCTGTTTCCACCGTTCCTTTCATAATAAATACATAAATAAAGCATTTTGCAAATCATCCCTAATCTTCTTCATATTACTAAAATATTTATTATAATACAATAATATGATAGTATATGATTATATACATAAAATACTTTGATATACAATTTTTTTGACTTTAATATTCCTTTTTTGTAGAAATAGCTAACCAAATACCTGCGTGGCCGCGATTGGATGGCAACTCTTATAATCGACGCATAAAGGTGTTCCGCGGCAGAAACATAAAAGAGAAGGAGAACTCGCAGCGGAACAAGTGCAAGGAATGGAAATGTTCCACGTGCAGTCTGATCTTCAGGAAGCCGTCTCTGCTAAATTTGCATACGCTCGTTCATTCGTCTAACGATATCAAAATTGAGAATCAAAACTCCACTTGTCCGCAATGCGGATTAGAATTTCAGAAACAAAGCGAGCTAGTGAATCATGTGTCTCAGCACGGACGATTCGCGCCACCCAAGGCGAAGAGATTAACTCCCCTAAGTACGTACAAGTGTTCAATGTGTTACAAGCGTTTTGCTACGAAGATACGATTACAACAGCACTGTTTGGCGCATGGTGCTGAGGACCAAAAACCACTGCCGTGCAATATCTGCTTGAAGCGATTTATGAATAATTCCGCTTTATCCGGTCATCTGAAGACACATAAAGGTGAATCTCTGATAAGTCGATCAGCGAACCGCCGTACTAATCACCGTGTATTAATTGACAACTACGATTTGCAGAAAATAAGCAAGTCTACGAGTGTCCAATGTGCAGGCAGCTGTTTCGCCAAGGCACAATGCTGAAGGATCACGTTGAGACACACAAAAATCAGGACGGCATATTCAGCTGCCCTCACTGCCAGCGAACATTCATTAAGTATTCGGTTATTAGTAAACACATTCGGGCACATCATTGCGAGAGAAAGCACAAGTGTCAGTACTGCGCGAAATATTTCCCAACAATCGACAAATTGCGAATGCACTTGCTAAAACATTCCGATCACAGGTACTACTTATAGTCAAGTCAAACAGCTCGCGAAGATTACATACATACATGCTAACACTTTTACTTATACAGAGAGTTTCATTGTGCGAACTGTGATAAACAGTTTAAGAGGAAGGACAAATTGAAAGAACACATGGTGAAGATTCACCATTCGCAAACGGCTAGCGAAGAACAAATACAAAACAACCAGACGAAGAAATTCGTTCCAAAGGTACGTTTGTACATTATTAGGTTGCGAGTAATTATGTTTGTTTTAATTTATAAATAAAATACAAACTATATTAATAATAACATTTAAATTTATATATTTCATATATTTAATTGAAAAGTATATTTGTTAAAATTATTTTTACCAAAATGAGAAAAATTTAACTTTGAGAACAACTATATATATTATGGAATCACTCTGTCAACAGGTAAATCCAAATGATTACAATCGCTTTGTTTTCAAATGTCATCAATGTCTAGTGGGTTTCAAACGAAGGGGGATGCTGGTGAATCACCTAGCGAAACGGCATCCCGATGTCGCTCCAGAGTCTGTGCCAGAATTAAATTTACCTATTCTACGGCAAACTAGAGACTACTATTGTCAATACTGCGACAAGGTTTCATTTCACTGAACAAATTCGTACATCAGCGTAGAAGCAATATTCTTACATGTATGTTTTCAGGTTTACAAGAGTAGCAGTAAACGTAAAGCGCACATTATGAAAAATCATCCAGGTGCGGCTTTGCCACCCAGTAACCGGCAAAAGGAGTCAGAATTTTTGGGATTGCCGAATCCAAGCTTCAGCCAAACGGTGGGCAGCATCACTACTATTCCCCAAGGTTGCCAATGGTGTCACAAGCAATATGCCAGCAAAGTGAGTCTTTTCTTGCATCAGCTTATATTCATCCCTAATAATTTATAACGTTATAACGTATAATTTATAACGTTATAACGTATAAATTATCATTGAAGGCAAAGCTCCTGCAACATCAACGCAAGAAGCACGCGCATCTGATGGAGCCAGCGGATCAAATACCGCGATCGCGAAATCGGCCGCCGCAGAATCAAAATCAACCACCTGTAATGAACGTAAATAACTTCGTAATATCAGACTATGTACAAGAGTGTGACATGAATGGGGATTTTCTCAAGCAGAAGATAATCAAAATCACGAACGACGTTGATTTGATAAGCAACAGCATGGAAGTTGGAGTCGGTCAGCAGTTTGTGCGTATGCGCGATATACGCTGAAGAGAAGTGCGGCGTCTCCGTCAACGGGGATGAGCGTCGCCAATTTATCGAGATATGAATCTCGCGACTTTTGTACGCAGCCCAGGCTGGCTGCGAATTTTTTGGCTGCCGTTACCAAGTGGGGACGACGCTGCCTGGGCGAAGCAATGGCGGCGAAGCGTCTCGCCAGAGAATATTTGGGACGCGGCTTTGTCGACGCCGGTGCGAAACACTCGGCGTTGTTTTGTTGGTTGTACGTTGGTCGGTCAACAAGCAACGGCTATCGATAAAATAGTGACTTGTTGGCAGATTTGTTGGAGAAATGGAGCACATGCAATTTTAAGAGATTACTTCGACTGATCCTCGAGACGAGAAAATAAGAAAAAAAAGCACAAAGCCTAAATACGTCGACTGGAAGAAATTCGGCGAGGCTCGAGGAAATCTACTTGCAACGGAGAAACTCTGTAGTCTCGTACAATTGTTGAGATCTTTCCTTGAAATATTGACCCTTTGAGTGCGGAACAGTGCGACGAAAAAGCGCTCTGTGCGGCCGAAACTCAGGGAGATTGTCGAACGTTTCAGTAGAACAGAAATAAATTAATGTTCTAAACTTAAGGTAATAAAACCTACAACTGAAACTGTTGCTAAAAGCCAAGCTAAAAGAGTGAACGTGCAGATTGGAGCAAACACCGGTAGTTCTTAGCGAACTCTGAGTGCATGTATGCATCCACAGGTCATAGCGAACGTATTACCTTGAGCGCATATATGCGTCCAGAGCACTCAAAGGGTTAAAAGTACCGAGCATAAACGAAAAAGAAAAAAAGGTAGAACGAGTCCTGGTACTATCGACACGTCCTTTACGCTAGGGCCTGGTAGTTACTTTTAAAATCTATTACCAAGCTTAAATCCGATGTCATTCGAGTGTGAAGTAGATGGACCAAATTTAAGCTTCAAGTTTGAGAGCGATGTTTAAATCCAGCTTAAATTTGGCAGCGGCAGCGAATTCGCCGCGTCTTAGATCGGCGTGACTTCTTCCGTAAGACGATGATTGTGTTGGATAGCGACTCACGTCGCACTGTTCGACGAGTTAAAACGTTAAAAGATCATTGTTCGCAACGCATTTGGCTTCATTCAACAAAGCGATTGTCTGTAGATTACGTGAAAGCTTGCAGTTTCTGCAGGTAATCGTCCATTTCACTTTTGCTCTCTCTCTCTCTTTCTCTCGTAATTTCAAGATTTCGTCGTAAACGCTTGCGTCTACCGTTTCTCATTTTAGAATAATATATAAGTACTCGCGTCTTTAGATCTCAAACGTACCGTTTTCACGTAATCGTTCCGTATAATCGCTGGTTTCATCCACATTATAAATCTAGTTCCACGCAACCGAGGAGAGCCCGTTTGAAATCGTCGACTCGAGATGTTCGGTTTAAATCGACGCACGGTACTGTAGTTACGTAGACAAGAGGACCCTCGTCCTCGGCAACTTTACGATACAGGTGTAATGTACGTGTAAGTTTTAAGCTGTATACCCGGCTACGCGTCACTCACACGTACAACAAGCACACGTACACCAAGGAAGCGAGTTTCCGCGATGTCCAAGATTGTGTGTTCCGCAACGTCTGAGCTCGAATTATTGTGTCCTTTCCGATAAAAAAAGCCCATCCGGTTGGTGTATGTCGTAAACAACCGCGCGGTCAATTTTCACATTCGAAGAGATTTATTGTGACGAAACGTCGTTGAATTTATTTTACACGCGGTATATACACGACATACAATTTATCGCAAAATACGAAGACAAAAGATTGCATGTTTGTCGATATCGTTGAGTACATGGAGGACTGTACTGTAAACATGACTTAAATAAAGTTATTCGACGAGCGGATATAATTTATTATTACATACACACACATACGTTCAACATATCTATACGAGCTGCAAATAACGTCAAACGAGAGATACGAAGAAATATAAAGATCAATCTACGTTAACAAGTCATGGAGACACATTGATAGATTTTCTAGAGAAATCTCTTTTAGGTCCATATTAATAGTTTTAAAACTCAGATTTAATTCTAATTTCAGAGTTAAGTACTTCGCATGAGATAAATCTCAAGCAACGACTATTAATATGGATCTTGACGAGGTATCGATAATACCACGATTTAGTTGACATCGTTAACACTTTTTTCGCTACCATCGATCTAGGAAGCCGTCCACCATGCACTGCTCTGTAATTTCTATTTTATATAATAGTGTAAAACGGACTTGATTTTTATTTAGGTGGACATAGAATATTTTATGGAAACTCATCGCGTTGTAAACCAGTCTCTCATGAGAGATCATTGTGTCACATGACGCTAATAATGTTAAATTTCACTATATTTCGTCATAATCGATACATTATCGTATGCTTAAATGCTTTTGAAATTTAGCGAGTATACTTGCGAGATGAACGATATCGTGAAAGATATACTCGATATACACGCTGCGGTATATTCTCAATACTTCTGTCTCGCGTAGCTTCCTTACCTGTCTTTAATGCCTATCTGTTTATAGTGCTTTTACTTTCAAATTTTTCGCTGGCGATTGCAAGCGGACCTACCGCCCCCGGCTTCAGAACTTGATGATTCGGCGTGGCTACGAGTGATCCGCCGCCCTTCTGCATCTGTGCGGCGTCATATAGCTGTTTCTGCATCACCGCCAGCGAAACCTTATTGGCGGACAAAAAATCCTTCATGGAAATTAGCTCGCCAGACATCCTGCGAGGCGTTTCCGAGTTCTCCTCAGCCCTGATAGAGTCCCTGCCGACGAATCTGGTTGCCCGCCTCTTCGAACAGTATATTGTCGGCACCGAGGATCGCCTTCTCGGCAGATACGGTGCCGCTATATCCCGATTACCGTACTGTAGCTTGTGTATCACGTAATTCAGACCCTGCTTTATCACGATCGATGTAACGTTCAGCAACGAATATATGCAGCAGCATCCCACCACCAGAAAGACGAAATTCGCGATCCTATACCTGCGTAAATGCGCGAAATACAGTGTTTACGAAGAACAATTGCGTATGCTTCACTTTTATCGGACCAATCATCGATAACAGAATTATGAATGAAATTGGGATCCTCGAGATTATCTAAAAATTTGTAATATTCTTCAAGATAAAGTTTGTTTGAAACTATGTAAGATCGTACGTAGAACTCTTCGTTCTCTACAGCTTGTGTTAAACCAATTCATCGAAGAATATGTCAGTCAAATACAATCCAGTAAAAGTGAGGCTACACGCTATGGATAAATGATGCGCATCTTCGATTTCTTTGATGTGAAGATTTTGGCAACGCACCAATGTACGTGGAGATAATTTGGCTTTTGCGTGCTGACGTAATCACCGAAACCAATGGTGGTGAAGCTAACGAAAGCGAAGTACAGCGCGTCGAAGTAATCCCAATTTTCCAGCGATGCGTAAAGTGCAGCCGCGCAACAGGCGATGATGCAGGAAGTCACGGACAAGTAGAGCATGACCCAGTACACGCTCGGTTTCCAATGGTCTAGGTCCACATTATTGTCGTCGTCGTCGTCAAGGATGTCCGGCAAAGATGACTTCTGAGCGCTCGATGACTTGGAAACACGTCGGGAGGTTAACGTTATTCGGCGAAGACGTCTCTTCAGACGCTGCACGTGCCAGTTGCGTAGAATCCAAGCCAAAAAGGTGATAATTCTCTCCAGGAATAGATTGAAGAACAGAATGCCACCTGGATCACGTTATAGCACTTGATTAAAGTGAAATTAAATAAAAGTGTTCTTATATATACAGCAGCATCTTTAGTTTTTCAAAATTTATATCTTTATTTCGGGACTTCTGTATTAAATCTGTATAACCGCACTAAATTACGCTATCTACATTTAGAATGAGATAGATACATATTTGATATCTTATGAAAAAAAAAAGAAAGTAGAAAAATTACAAGATAGTCCCGAAAGTGTGTAGCTATAAGGAATAGACTCATTAATTATAACGAAAAACTGTTATTTACAATTTTTTTTTATGTGTGACGCATTACACGCCTTTTTCATAATGAAGCGAATATTATTATTACCAGAACAACCAAAGAAACCATAGAGAATCACGGCCGCTTTACCCGCCGTTGTTTGCGGCGCAGTGCTTCCGTATCCTGAAAATAACATCAGAGTATCACGTCTTTTTCATTTCAGAAGCATATTATACGGCGACGTATACGCATATAGAGATCGACGACCAACAGACAGCCGTGGGGATAAGTGCGAGACTAGGTCGCAAGATATTAGCATTCCGGAATTCACCGGTACATTCTCATGCATACATCGGCCGACGACCCTTATCCCTTTATTTAGCGTCATTATGACCAAGTTTTACGCGAGAATGCGATCGTTTTTCCTTTGCACCATCAACTCTTCTCGTCGGTATATAAATATATCAGGAATAGTCATAATTAATCAAATATTTCAAAATAAAACATGTTTAAAAATCTATAGACATTTAAAATCTAGACAAAGTTTTTAATTTCTTAATTATCGATAATTCAATAATAAATCAGTGATACAAGTTAAATATTTTATCCACATAGCGCACATTAAGGAAATATCGTTTATATATTACATAGCTCAAATAAAAATTGATAAGAACAAAAGTCTTATAAATACTTGATTAGTTATGAGTGACCGCTAATAATTAGATACAGTTAACAACGAATTATATTAATCGAAATATAATATTATTTTATTTTATATCGTACCGAAATAAATAATAGACGCGGATTATTTCTTTATTGAGTAATTCTAACGAAAAAAATTTATTTTCGGTCGAAAATGTCGGACGATATCGTGCTGGACCGTCTCCGCGAAAATCGATCTTTTTGCGACTTCTCGAGGACAGAAGGATTCCGAAAGAGTATGAAACGTGCGACACGAATTCCACTGACCCCGATATCCCCCGGCTATGATATGAACGCTTCGAGTGATGGTTTATATTCTCAATACGACGTCGCGCTATGTTTCTTACCGATCGTAGAAACGATGGTGCCCACAAAGTGAAAGCTACCGGGAAAATCCCAGCGGCGTCTCTTGTTGATAATACCGGTGGCGGATGCGTTGCCGTAAGCGTACAGGAGCTCGTGCAATCTCTGCAGGGCTAAGGGGCTGCCTCGTAGGTGATGTCTTCGAAACGCGTGATAAACCCGCCAAAACTCCGCGGCCTGTGATATAAACAAAAAGAAAATATCGGTAGAAAAACTGATAAGTACGTGGACTTACTTTAAACGTTCAATGTTTAAAATGCAGCGTTCAATTTTTAATCTATTAGTACTTCGCACACGAAAATTCACCATACACATAACGTCTTTCAACTCCGCAGTGAGAAGTAATTTTTTTTTCAAATTTCCAATTTTTTCTCTAAGAATTGCAACGAACAAACAAGAATATACAGTTTCCAACTTTCTTCGCGGCACACGCTTAGATACACCGTCCGTACCTGCCGTACTTCGAGATCACTTTCCAGTCTTTGGAAAAGGACCGCGCCTGCGAGCATGTACGCTACCAGGACGACGGCGAGGAGGATGAACCTGGCGTTGTCCTCCGCGAAGCCTCCGCACAAGCACATCACCGGTGACTCTCATCTTTCCGATGTCGGTGGCTGCACGCGATCCCCACCGCCGCTCTTTATCCGGAGCGGCGCAAGCTCGGCGGCCGAGAGAAATTTGCGAATACAAGGATATGAGAACGATTTGAAGAACACCTCGTTTTTAAAGCCCACGCATATACACGCACACATGAATGCTGCACCTGCGAATAAACTGTTGCGAAAATATATATTATCGAGTAATTCAATTTTTTTGTCAAGGAAAACATAAATTTTTTGTCGCGAATCTGTTCCTCTGATATATTCAATAAATTTTGAATTCGCGAATGCATATTTTTTTTTTGTACTTATATGAAAAGAGCACCTTGCGAGCGACAAATTGATAGAATGAATCGATACGAGATTGAAAAATATCCTAATTGCCTTGTATTGACGCGACGTTCCGCGCGACGCACAGAAGACCGGGATGTATGTGGGGCAATCCAACGCAGTACCACTGAGAGCAAATCCTTTGACGAGATAAAAATAGTAATACAAACACTCGCTTGCGTATTCAACGCGTGAACTCCGCCAAGGGAATGTCTTTTCGTGAAAAGCGACTTTAAGTAAACATGCCGGGTAATTAACCGGTGAACGCAAAATAAAGATGCTAAATTGTGACCTTACGCGCTGTGGCGAGCGCCTTCAATTCTGCTAATTGAAAAGCTCGTGTGGGTATACATTTCGTGAATCCTTTACATCCGGTTTTGGAAATTCCGTGTTTGGACCGAGGAAGGAGAGGAGAACGAGAGAAAGTAAATCATAGACCAGGTCTAATAAAAAATACTCTGTTAACAGTCAATCTGGCCAACAGCTAACGACGCTACAATTTCCGCATAAATAGACACACGTTGTCGGTATTTTCGCACCGAGAGATAATTGCACACCTCTTTACACGACGATTTGTACACACTTTTGCTGATGAAATTAAGAGTGCATCAGATGGTCCAGTGTAAGAACCAACTTCTGAGAATTGATAAGAAAAAGAACAATTGATAAGATAAGAAAAGTCTCTCAATGTGGACCATCGACTGCGTTCCAAACTGCATCGAAAGAAAAAGTGCCTAAATCGTATTGAAACCAAATGTATGAGTATAAAAATCTACATTACGTACATACACTGTACTATTTGCATCATACGCTATAATACTATCGTTACATCCCGAACGTTTATCGGAGCTCTCTTCATTGCCTGTTTTATAGTAACATTTAAAATCTAAAGGACGTCCTTCCTAATGCCTCGCTTGCGGACCCTCCTCCAATTTTCGCCAGACAACCTGAAAACAAGAACAATTAATCATGCATATCACAAAAAGTCCTATCTCTGATAGCTGATTTAACGATATTTTTCAAGTTATATATAACAACGAGACTTTTATATATAACAACGAGAAATGAGAAGAAGCAACGTTTACTTACATTGCACATTTCTCTGACCAACGCCTTCTCACCGTCGTGACCTTCCTCTCTTTCTAATTGTTCTCTGACTTCAAGAACTTGAAGAGCGCGCACTACGGCTTCTGGTCGACTTCCTAGGTGAGGATTGTCATTTGGACTATTGGGGCTCTCCCAGACTTCGCCTGGTGGTACTTCCCAACCTTGCGCACGAGCTTGGAGAACGCTTTTGTCTTCCTCCAATTGCTTCACCCGTTGCTCCAAACTCCTCACATATTGCATAGTTTGATCTGCGAGAGATTCATCATTAAGTCATTTGAAAGTACAAAAAGATCTTATCGTTAGAACATCTGCGCACGATAGTGCGCATAACACGTGCGTGCTATTCGTACAATTGCAGGCGGTACATTATAATGTTACACTTTCACTTGCGTATGATCTATATTTATGATCTGCTAAGATTAGTATTACCACGCTTTCGTCAGGATCTCCCGCCATGAGAAATGAGTTACGTGAAATTACTATTTTCTACGTATTAAAATTAATGCTTCATCCTTACATACATTTATATACATGAGCTCCTTTTTTTCCGCGTTGGAAAACTGCGCGTTTTCGCATGCTAATAGCGGACGGGAAAGGGTCAGCATTTTTACTAGATTTTACCGTTAAATGTAGAAGTGTGCCTCGGCCTCGGCAACGCGGTCTCTTCGGCGTTCGTACTGGAACTCGATCCATCCCCGTCGTCCCTTTGACCACCACCACGTTCCTCGTCGAGGTACAGACACAGCTCTTTGAGTTCAAGATTGTCCTTAATCAGCTCCTGCTGCTTGTTGTCCAGCTGACGTAGTTTGTTCTGATAAGCCGAGACCTCCTGGCGCATAACACTCACCGTGTATCGGCCGAACCTCTGCCACTCTCTCGCCAACTTGCGACCCTTTTGTCGGTCGTCGTCCAAGAAACAGCAGAGATCGCGCAGTTCCTGGTTATCGTCGTTTAGTCTTTGGTTGGCCTCCTTCAACGCCCGCAGCTCATTCAGCTGGAAAACAGATAGCTTTATCAAGTTGTGCTCACACTGTAGTTCTTAAAGTTACTGCTTTCAAAAAATTCACTCTTGAAGAAATTTTATATCTTGATACACACGGATGTGAATATATATCCAAGAACATAAAAAAATACCTATATGTATATAATCTATGAATTTAAACTGTTGAAGTACTGTTATATCGAATTTTTTGTTAATAAGTAATTGATTCCACCTTGGAGACAAGACTTGCCAATGACGACGCAAAAATGATTAATTAATTACATTAACATGTCGCGTATTTATGTATTTATGTATTCACCGTACGCAACATCCTACATCTTTCATTAAGCCGGATAGCTCCTGCATTATTAATCGGCACGCGAGAGAAATAACGGAGTCATTGATCTCACGGGTGACGTATTCGCCGCGTGGTATACGCAGATTGCCGAAAAAAGTTCTCGCACATTCATCACGTGTGTATGAAGGATGCGTGACCAATGCCGGCCACGTTGTCTCGGTAGATTTGGCATTTTGCTTATCAAAAGAAACCGATTGTGTGTGTCCTCGCGATCGTTTGCGGTTTATCTCGCACGTATGCGTGACTCCTTGAAATTACGACGGTCGGCTCAACCTGTATGACCTACAACAGCCTCCCAAAAACTTCCGCGTAGCGCGCTAAGGATTTCAAGAACGCATTCCACATGGCCAAAAATATAACGTAATATATCACGATAAGGTGATATTCTTACGGTATAATAAAACTGGAGTAAAATGACAACGCTAAATAATAGATTTATCTGCTTAGTTATGAATTTTTGATAGACTTAAAGGTCACAGGATCCAATTTTTCCGTAATTTTTCAAATAGACTTCCTTTACTATCGTAATAGAATTTTAATTTAAAATTTAATCGTAGAATATTGTGTAATTTTAAGAAGACGCAATAAAAAAAACGACTTTTTTTGCCGACTTACATTCCCAAGTTTTACGACATAGACGATGTCTGATACGATCAGATTTGACGTGAATCATGAAAAGATAGAGTCGTAAAATTCAACCGGTACTCACCAAGCTCTGTATCTGGCGATTCTGCTCGGCGGCGAGCCTAGCGATGTCACTCTCGGTCTTCCGTACAAACTTGAGCATCTCCACAGGGCCGAGTCGCAGGAATTCGTCGTCGCTAATTCTCTGCCTGACCGGCACGCTCTGGCCGCTGCTCACCGCCGGGTATTGGCTGCTGGGTGGCAAATACGGGCCTTGACTGAGCTTAGGCTGCTGGAGGTAGGCTGGCTGCGGCTGCTGCTGGCTCTTAGACGCCGCCGACGCGCCGATCAACGCGTTAGCCGGCTGGGAATGATGATGATGGTGACGATGCTCTATTCTCGGGGAATACTTGCTCTGTGCATCCTTCTGTGACTGCTGCTGTGGTGGTTGTTGAGCCGGCTGTTGCGGCTGTTGCTGTTGATGTTGCTGCTGTGAAGACGGCAGTGGTGGCGGCAACGTGCGCGGTTGCGTGCTCTGATGATGGCTCAAGGCCGCGCCCGGACCTTGACTGCTGCCGGCCTGGCCCGAGCTCGGCGCCGACGACGCTCCGCTGGCGAAGTGAAGATGATTCTTCAGGATGCCACTGGTGGGCTGCGGCGGCGGCTGGTAACGCGGCGGCAGCTGGTCCACTGGCTTGATCACGTGCGGAGGATGCTGTTGCGGCTGCTGTTGCTGATGGTGCGGCTGCTGATGCTGCTGCTGCGGCTGGGACTTACTCTTATTGGACATCGCGGCTAATTTAGCTCCAGGCTGCGCCGTGTCCCATTTCAGAAAGTCCGCCGCGGTCTCCTCGCGTCGGCTCGCCTCGTTCGAACCGCCGAAATCTGGGTCAGCGCGCGGTCTCTCACGAGCAGGCCCAGTCCGCGCGACCGGCCCCGCGCGATACATACGTTCCCTCCACCGACCTCACGGGCCTCGCCTTATCGCCGTAGGGGGCCCTACTCGTGCGACGTGCTACTCTCTCGACGGCCGATTTCTGCTTTTCTTCTTCTTCCTTTTCTTCTTCTCTCGTATTCGCCTCCCTCTCTCTTTCTCTCACTTCTCTCTTGCCTGCGTCTTCTTTCGCGCGCTTCTCGTTCCGAACACCTGCACCTGCCAACGGCGCCTCGCTGTCGCGTGTCGTGATGAAACAGTGAGCTCTCGCAAAGAATACTTCTATTTTCCGTAATCCTTGCCGAAGGAATCTAGCGAGAATCGTCATCTGTTATGACTCAGTTATGACTGATTTCTTCAGCGTCACTTTCTTCTGTGCTATCTGTTTCGTAGGTAATGTTGCAATCTAAGAAGAGACACCGAAGCAGTTATCTCGCTGATAATTGTCGCATGATTAACCGTAGATAAAAAAATTTGATTAATAGTTATTTTTTCAAATTATTATCTTGCGTTGTGTATTATCTTGTGTATTATCTTGCGTTGCGCGACCGTGTATTATGAAGAAGAAATTACACCTTGATTGTAGAACGTATCAAATAAATAATGAGTCACACCAAGCATCTTGAATCATGCACTGTACACTTCAGAAGTGATCGTAAAAGTCACGTTATCACTTCGGAGCTAAATCGGTTATCGTGCAAGTCGGACAACACTATCATTGTCCTGAAGTATTCACCGAGTCAGTATGTATTTAAATGTATTCAATGAATACATTTATAGCGTATACGTTGAATACTATTCACTTACACATACACAATTAAGACTAGTCTTGTGCCGCGATACCGTTCAATTCGCACACGCACAAGCGTCACTCGCGACGGGGACCGTCGCGATCGCACAATCGCAGCCTTCGCATTAAACTCAAGCCCATGCCGCCGCTGACAATCGACATACCAGTCTCTCTCTCTTTCTCTCTCTCTCGTACACTAATCCCCGGTACAGTGCCACGAGTAACACCAATTCCCCTCTATCGGCATTCACCCGCCTCCTGTCTCTTTCTCCGGCTTCGTACACGAAAAGGAACACCCTGCGTCTCGGTACAGCGAAAGTTCCAATGAAGCATGAGTCGCAACCGATTTTCTCTCAGCATCCACGCGTCCTCCGCTTCTCTTCAACCTCGTGAAAGGAAGAGAACATTTCTTTTATCCCGATAGAACGTAGCAAGTCTCAGTCGAGCACGAATTATTCCAATCGCCTCTCTATCAGCGTTTAGCACGTGTCACTCGTTGGGAAGAATACTCTCGCCTCTGTATACTGCCAGTGCTAACTAAACTCATACTAGTTCCTGTTTATCAGCATATTAATACGTCGCACATCCTCCTGCTAGCGCGGAAGCATAATGCTCTCTTCACCTTGACGTGACGTAAATCCCTGCGAAACACGAGTCACACTGTTCATTAGTATTCACACATAACACATGTTAGTCTTCACCTCTCCCTGCAATCGCCGATTACTTTGATCGATTCCAGAGTTCCTCAACTCGGAAATCACGGATTGTTCACCTTCGAGCAATTCAGTTCTATGTAACTGTCATACTGCCTGCATAATTGACATTGGGGAAGCCGTTTAATCCGTGCTGTATTCCGATCTTATGATCGTCGTCGTCGTCTTCGTTGTCCTGGTGTTGCTGAGGAGCTTCCCCCCGCATCTGGACTCGCGTTCTTGCAAAACACGCGCATTCCGCGCGCTGTCAGTTGATCGCGCCTACGTGCGTCGACCACGAGACGTTGGGCCCAATTTCTAGGGGCTCGTTCAGGACTCGTCGTCGTCGTCGTGATCGCTCAACGTCCTCCTCACGAAAGCCTCTTACCGGTTACCGTGAGACTGCCGTGGCTGCACACCGCGCTGGTAATGCCCTGGCTCGTTTGGCCACCGCCGCACGCCGGGTCCCCGTTTTTCTCGCCGCGGGGCCACATTTCACTGGGATGGATGCCCAGTGCCGTACTCAGCCGAGTCAACCAAACTGGGTGAAACTTGAACATCGTACGCGCACATAATTTGGAGAACGTTGCGTTTCGATTGTCTTGATATCGCGACGAGATTACGAGGTTGCATCGCATCTTAGTTACAAACTAACGATATACTTTGCTGCATGAAAGTTTTGATTGACTTTTGCGTGCAATACATCTCACACGATTGTACTTATTTTTTTCTCTGCAGTGTCTTTGCATTAAGTTTGAAGTTTCAGTTAAACTATTGGAGTTTGCATATCTTTCTTCTTCCTTTTCCTGTATAATATTGATCATAAATCTCATTATAATTATTTCTATAAAGATTTTCATATTATGTATTTTACATTTCGAATTATCTTCAGTTCACCTCTCAACTGTGATAATGAGTTCTCTCTTTAAGGAAAGAGATACTTACTTCCGAAAAGGCTCTATTCGTTATGGCTTCGCCCGATGCAATCAGCTTCCGAGTATCTGAAAACCACGAATTTGTTGTTAAATCTGCTCTATCCGTTTTGAGGCCCACAGGTTCACGCGAACTCGTCGATATATGCCGAATCGTAAACTCGCAAGGATCATTATGCGAATGTATCTATTTTCCCCCACGCGAGTTCCGACATGTATAACTCGCGTCAAAATCACGTACTAACAGTATGGCGGTTACTCGTGGGACGTGAAGCGATTGCCGGGCCTTACGGGCCCCGGCGCGGGAACGTGCCGCGATGTCCCGATTGGCTCGAGTAAAGGCGAAGGGAAAGGGTTGAAGCGCGTGAGCTCTAAAATCGTGGGAGGTTGCGGGATCCGAGGTCGGCACGCAGAGTCTCTCGGCTCGTCGGTGCCTAATAGCGACGTCGAGGAGATCGATGATGATAAATATACCATATTGCAATGCGCTAATGTGAGTGTGTGTAATTGCTTTTTTCTCTCAAAAGTACCAAGCATAGTACATAGATTGTTCTCGTGATTCATTCTCGTTTATTTTGTCGCGTATCGAAGTGTATATTCTTTATAAAGAAAATTAATTAATTCAAAGAAATCGACATAAATCTATTCTGCAGTATTACAATTTCCTTACTTTGAAAAATAATCATCAGTTCCGAAAATCAGAGAATCGATTGAGTTTCAGAATGGAAAGTTTTTACTAAGCAATTTATAGTAATTAAATACTCTTACATGATATCAAAAGATAAGAGATCGGTATGTTTAACATGCGACCTAGGTGCTCGCGGTAACTCCCACAATTACCCGTAGAATTTCTTGTGAGACTTTCCGAACGTCTGACTTTTCAACGGAAAACATTGATTCGACTAACAAAGGAATATTAGCAGGCGGGTACAAACACGGGCCATGTAATTCCCATCAATGCATTGTGTCGATGGAAAGAAGCACTTCCTTCACCAGTTATGACTGTCTGTAATTACACATGAATTGCTCAGGAATATACATGCAAGTCTAATTACTTTTTGTCACAATCTATTTCTAGAGTGAGCTATTTGAGAGAGAAGAGTTATAAATTATTTTGTGACTTTATATATTAACTAATATATATATATATATATATATATATATATATATATATATATATGTATATATATATATATATATAATAACTAATTTATATATTAACTAATATATATATATATATATAATAACTAATTTATATATTAACTAATATATATATATATATATAATAACTAATTTATATATTAACTAATTCAACTGAATTGTGTGAATTGTGCAATTTAGAGTTTAAACAATTTTCGTTATTCTTTTGCAATTTGTACTACATGCTTTAAAGTTGGAATTTAAATAAGTTGCGATACCATAAAGTTTGTCCGTCAGTTTCACAGACTGTACTGCGCGACAGGTGTTACTTCTTTCTTTACGTTCGTTCACCGGCTAAAGCAATCTTCGAAAATATTCTACCTGCCTGCGCAGTCCGATACAAATACGTCGAAGGCGCACCTGCGTTCCAGTGACGTTTACGTTTTACGTTCACTGACGGGGTGCTTGACAAATGAAGGCAGCAGGTAAAATTCCAAAGCATCCCTTTAAATCCGGTTTCTCTAGCTATCGTAGTGCATCGGAAAATACTCCCATCAAGTCAAGAAGTCGAACACGCCTATTGTAGTCACACAAAAAGAATTCCTTTATCATGTAAATACCACTTAAATACCATATCCAAACACAACGACTATGTATAAGACAGTTGAGATGCAGTGCTATTGAATACATCATCTTGAAGCAAATCAAAACCAATCAAGGTAATTTCAAATAGTATAAAAATACATATTATAAATAGTATAATAATACATATAAATATACATATAAATATATAATAATATAATATACATATTATAAAAATATAAATATATAATAATATAATATACATAAATAAAATAATATAATATATAAAAAAATAATATAATAATATAATATAATATATACATACATAATACATACATATATAATATATATATACATAAATAATATAATATATAAAAATATAAATATATAATAATATAATATACATATTATAAAATATAATAATATAATATACATATTATAAAAGACTCATTGATCATAAAGGAATATAAATTTGCAAACAGTGTCTTATATGCAAATAATATTAATGCAGTACAATCAATCAATACACACACATATATGTGTGTTAAATACTTTTGACTAAATTTTGTACTGACTACGTACCGCTAGTTTTAACAACAAAATTTATGATGTTGCTAGATATTTATTTTATTATTAAATTCCTTGAAATATGTTTCACCTGGTCTATTCTTTTCAGCTGCACTGCTAAACTGGTGCAATAAGTTGGAGTGAGAAAACATATACTTATTTCACTTTAATTTATTGCACCAGTTTAGCAGTGCAACTGAAAAGAACAGACCAACCATCAACAATTTCGTGATGACTAACAGAACTCGGGAAGAACATTGACATTGCCGACTGTGTGACACACGAACATCACTCATTGCTTTCGACAGCTTGCCTCACGAGGTAGGTTTACTTTAAAAGATATTTTAGCAATATGTTGCCACGATAAGCGCGTATAAGAGCGATAAGAGCGATAATTCGCAGAGAAGACTTTTTTTGCAGGTTTAAAGCGTGTAATACACTGATTTAAAAATATATATCTCAAACTATCATCACATAGCAACAATCGAAACTTAATTCAGTCCTTTCGAGAAACTGCTCCATGCTGTACTCATGTTCAGTAACTACATAATGATATTTTGTCATAAGAAACTTATGAAACGCACTCTCGACGTTTCTGACGACGATAATTCGTGTCAGACTCACTCTCGGTTAGCAAAAATCGAAAAACACGTAACAGCTTTCCTGGATCTGAACTATCGCGCCGCCATTGCAGCTGTTTACGATTTTGATCGATTAGTCATATCGATTGGATATATCGATTCATATATATCGATACTCTCGGGCTTATCGATATGCGATAAGCCAACCAATCGCGAGAAGCTTAAAAGTCCCGGCCTAACCGCCAGCCGTCACGATAAGACGTATTCGAACAAGTTTGGACCTTGTGATTTTTTGGAACGTGCCTTGGAATTTTCCAAGACTTTACTCTCGAAATATATCATAAATCGGAATAATGGAGTTAGAACATAACTCTTAGAGAAGCTTGGAGCTAAATATTGAAGTTGAAGTTGAATCACGAGAAGCCTAAAAGCTGGTTTATGATGGTCGTAATCCGTTACCTTAAGCCAGCGGTACACGATGCTTGTTTTCATGCTGAATTGCTTGCTAGATGGAAATACTCTGTTCTGATTGGTGCATTTGAAGACGGACCAATCAGAATAGAGTATTTCCATCCAGTAAGCAATCCAACACGAAAACAAGTATCATGTGTCGCTGGCTTTATGCCGAAACCGTAAAAATTGACTAATCATATTATTATTCTTCTATAATTCGACTATGGCTATGTTCCGAAATTCACTGCGAGTACTGAAAATCTATAATTCATGTCACGTATACTATAGAATTTCAGTGAATTTCGGAACGCACCCTATGATTGATCAATTTTTTACGGTTCCGGCATACGTTAACGGATTACGGCCATCATAACCAAAGTTTTTATAGGGCCTGAGCACAAAGATTGTCGCAATCATTTCCGTTCGTAGATGTAAGTCATCTATGTAGACAATGAATAATCTATGGATATCGTTTAAAAAACGTATGACGTTAAAAAATTAAGAAAAATTTATTTTTTCTCTTAATCTTTAGAATTTCAGTGTAAATTGTGTAGACGTTGTTTCCTAAACAAGTTAGAGTCCACAGAATATGTCTTATGATTCTTATCTTCTGAAAAAGCGATCGGTAGCAATCTCAAGAAGTACCGACCTTTCGACGACAGATGGCGCGGAACGCGCAAAAGACAACCACATTCATACCGCGTCCGCTGGCATAGCACATTCGAGCCGGAGGGCGATACCCAACTTGCGGCGAATAAAAGAAAATCAATGCCCGGAACGCCGCCGTCATCTCCGTGCGCGAGGTGTGTCGAGGGCAACGAAGACGGTCTCGGACGAGCTTGAACGCGGCTCCACCACGTATAAAGCCGCGCGTCTTGAACAAAGAGCAAGAACTTTCCCACGAGGGTTACACGGATTTCGCGAGCGGTTCCGAGGGTGGTAGAGCGAGAAAGAAAGAAAGAGGTACATCGGCCGAGTCACGTTCTGCCGAGCGGTATCGCATTTCTCACACGAGCGATCGGCCGCCCTTTGTAATCATGATACTCGAAAACACCATCCGTCAGCGACTTGGCAAACACAGCAGAAGCGTTCGCAGCACGAACGTCCAACAGGATCTGCGTGCGATATATCGGATCAGAGTTTGCAATCCCGACTAGATGCGATGGCGACGTGCGAAGGAGCAGGCCAGGTAATTCCGCAAATATTTCTAATAACACATACACACACATACAGTTGTGTATAAAGTAGAACAATAGTGGCCTGGTTTACATCGTCAAAACGTTAGTACGCGTATTAAATTTGATGCGCACCAATGCTTTAATACGGGTGCGTTTACATCGAACGTACTAAAGGAAAAATATACGAATTCATGTCGATTGTCTCCTAATCGTATTTGGAATTGCAATTTGCTTGAGATAGCTTTGTTCAACAGTCAGAATGTATAATTCTAAAAATGTTCTCCTTTCTTCTTTTTTCTAATTTATACAAGACCTTCCCTTATAGAAATATCATACTAAGAATCATTGATAATTACTTATTTTCAGTATTAAAAATACTGGATAATAAGTAATTATCAATGATTCTTAGTATGATATTTCTATAAGGATTTTTACAAGACATTTTACTATAATATAATTTGAGAGAAACCAACGATTACCGATAACACCGATTTTATCCTTCCAACATTCGTTTCATGTTTCGTCATATCGTCATTTGTATCACTTGATACGCGTATTAGTTTAATACGATACTCCTTGATGCGCTCGTACCAAATTGATCCGTCAGTGTTTATGTCGTGCGTATTAAATATTTAGTACGAATTTAACCAGATACGAATATAGTATTTGATACGCGTATCAAGTACACGATGTAAACTAAGATAGTGTCAAACGAAGGAATGCGCTATTGACGCTAATGTATCTTTGTCGCTTTTTAGATGTGCGATAAGGATAGAATAACACGTCAGTAGCATTGATAGTATATTTTCCGAACGCACCCGAAGAATTAAATGAGCGATATGACAGATCGTAACAAATAACACGGAGTAATGAGAAGTTTATTAATAGTAGCCGTGAAAAGTGTTTATTTTAGTGTTCAGATTTTTTGTGGAGATAACTTTCGTGGAACAGATATAAACTTGGATAGAAATGTGTTAGAACACATGAGCCAGTTTAGTAGATCGGAGAATACAGAATTTGCAATGTAAAACAAGATATTTATAGACACATATAGGCGATATACCTAAGACACATAAAAAAGTAGAATGCAGACACAAAGTAGGGTAGAATTTGAGACGTCGAAGGTATCACCACCTTTTCTTGGCAAGGTGCAAGATTCAAATAGCCGGTGTTTTCAATGAAATAAAAATAAATCAAGTTGAATTTCTTTACAGGTAATCTTTTTTTATTTTTATTTCACTTCGTCTTTTATTTTTTATGGTTTAATGTTTACATTAACAAGTATGTATAATCGATATATAATTATGTGTAAAATTACGTAACAGTAGACATCTTACTTTTAGACTATATCTATTTTTAAGCTTGTTAAGATTAAAACAGTAAATAGGCGTCTTGCGTTCCTGTTTTTCCTTTTACACGAGATTACATCACACTTGCGATCTTGCGCAGTTTCGCAGAATATACTGAAGAAAAAAGAATGGCAAAAAAATTAAACAAGATAATATAACTCAAACGTTTTTGTCGCGGTAAGTCGTTCGTTCTCTTGCGTAATTTGATTTCACGAAGCATGAGCCGAAATGTTTTTCGTCGCATTTAGTCTTAAACTTAATAACACGTTGCACACGATATCATTATAATTTTTTACTGTTCACACATAATTGCAGGCTATGCAACGTGATTCCAAACTTCAAAAATACGTGCAATATATTCGAAAGCGCGATGGAAAAAGTTCATATCGATTGAAAATATTTTCTTTAAGGCATAATACCAGTTTTTTTCTGATTTCTTGACATGCTAATCTATATTGAGAAAAAATACCTAAGAAATAAAAAATATTTATTCACGGTTGATATTATATTTATAATAACATATTTACTTATTATAATATAAAATATTTTTCAAATAAGAAAATATACATTTTCTTAAACTCTTATCTTTTCATAGAAGTAATTGTTTATTCTATTTAAATAACACTTATTCTATTTAAATAAAAGAATTCAGATTTAAGTGAATATATTATTAATACTCACCAAATAAATATATACACAACAAAAAGAGATATACAAGAGAATGCACACAATCAGAAATATTTAGTTGCAAGTAACATAGATGCATTACCTTAATTATCTTTGTATAATGGCAATACATATAGTTAATATGACTTAATTACTTTGGTGCACAAATTACATCAGTGTAATTGTGACAAACAGAAATTGGTTGGGGTGATATTTACCATGAATATTCTGATTGCAACAATCAGGTGTCACTGTGATTTAACAAATACTTTGTGGTTACAGCCACATTTGGTTGTTCCTCATTTTATTATTAGTCTAGTTGGTACAACCAGATTTATGTGTGGATCAATCACGTCTGCTTTTTTTACGTATAATTTTACACGTTCCTGACTATAAATAATTATGATTAATAAGCAGTGATATAATCGCATCGCACACGGAAAAAAAGGTTTGGTTGAATTAATCAAATATCTGGTCGAATATGAACGATCCAGAAATTTCGATTGAAGTAACCTGAATTCTGTTTAAGTCAACCAAAAATCTTGTTAACTTAAACAGAATTCAGATTATTTCAATCGGAATTTCTAGATCGTTTATATTCGACCAGATATTTGGTTAATTCAACCAAACCTTTTTTCCCGTGTACAATTTTTGCAAGCGATTATCATAAAGTTATTGATATGATGGAAACATTTGCATATATATTTTTTTATTTCATGAATATAAAACTGAGAAGAAAATATTCGAGAAAAATATTTTTTGCGAGATATAACATTTATTTCTATGAAATAAAGTTTATTTCTGTAAAACAAAATTCATTTCTGTGAATAAAGCTTACATCCCACGAATAAATTTTCAAGTATTTTTTTCTCAGTATATACAAATATATCGAGGTCATTCATTATAAGTTATTGAAAATGTTATAAACATCTCCGCGCGAGAAGAATTTAAGGATATAAGAAGTTCTAGTCCATAGAACACTTACAGTCTATAGAAATTGGGGAATATGCTACTGCACGTTTGAACGCGTATGTGTGTGTGTGTGTGTGTATAAAGTTGTTCTAATTTTAGTGTACAAGCGTCTCTCCTCCATGAGAGTTCTCGAAATTATGTTACATCATTTTTCACAAGATCTGGAAATAACTCGTAATTCACGGCGTCGATGATTTCGCGAGCATTATTTATACTCTGTGCGTAAAACTTAAATATAACTGACGTTAACAGCAAGTAGTATCGCGGGTAGTTATACACGGAGCGAGAGTTACTACAAATAAATTACTAAAAAACAAAAGAAAATTGCTGAATTATCAACGAGACATTGATAAGTCGAAGTATGTATAATAGCTAGATAATGAGCGTGCTGGCAATCACGTGACAGGAAACTACTCGTTCGAACCGTTCGTCTTTCTTCATTATTCAATTAATTTCCTGTAAGTTTCACATGCGACACCACAACATTACGCCACATATATTTCAAATGCGCGTAAATAAGAATGTCTCTTTTCGCAAATACTGAAATCCCTGCGATAAGAATTAACAATTCACAATCTTTTGCATACATCGCAGATTACCTAGGACAATTCTCAAGTAGAACTTTCCGAGTCTCTCTATCTTGTTTGATAGTCGATTCATATCGACTATCGAAATTTGACAATCGAATTAATACCGCGAATTGTATTATCCAGCAGGGAATTCGTCGTAATGTAGCTTTCCGGCACGAGCATACACTCGCGACAGCAGTAATTGAAGAATATTAAATTGAAAGCTCATTATCTGTGTTAGACAAGATATTAGTTATCGTCACTTCGAAGTATATTTCCATTCGTATACGCGTATCCATAAACGACCTGATAATTGCGGCCGCGATAACAATCGTGTACTTCGGCATATTTTCTTTCCTTAAAACTTACGAGTATATCATTTTGATAATTCGCCTTTTAATTAGGTTCATTCCACGTGCCTGATAGCCTTACGATCGAATATCACCCGTGTTTAGAAACACGAACGCGACGGAGATATCTGGAAAGCCACTCGTCTGACTCGTTCACGCGAGCAGACGCATACGGATGATTCAATCCGCGCAGCTGTGATGCGAGAGAAAAAAAGAGATAAAAGAAAAAAGTCATGTTACTCGTTTTACGTAACGCGTCACTTCCGCGCGGAAGAACCTATCCCGCCGTCGCGACGTATCTCGTAAAAATTACGTGAGAGTCGCAACATTCTGAATCCTTCATCGAATTGATGACTTTCCGTCGCATGTTCGCGTTCACTTTGTTGTAATTTTCCACTCGTTTCACAAGAGTCTAATCGTGAAATATTAGATCGGTCTGCAAGAGACAACTATCTCTCTCTTTCCACATAACGGATACGTACCGCGGAAAAAACCGCAAACCCTTATCTCGAGCATGATACGCCTCATTTTTGCGTATCATTTTCAGTCGCTATATTCTCTCCGTTGTTATTAAATTAATCGCGAATTAAATGTCGGGGTTAATGCAACAGACAGCGAAATCGAGCGGCGCCAGCTCGTCCGAAGGAGATTTTAGAACATCTCCCTCTCCCCTGGCTTAATTATTCAAAATATTCGATATATCTTGCGATACATCAAAAATTCACCGAATCGTAACGAGTGCGAATTTCCTGCGGGGAAAAGTAGGACGTGTGTGGGTGATGCTTCTTAACTTCGCATCGCGTCCCGGCTATCTTTTTATTGATGTCGTACAAGTAGCGTGGATCGATAAGCACGCATAGAAATGTAACATCGACAAGATATTGGCGACACAACACTGTATAACTCGGTAAGAACGCATTGCGATTTACTTCTTATCTCTCTCTCTCTCTTTCTCTCTTCCTATTTTCTTTCTATTGCACAGCTCATTTTAACTTTGTCATTATTTCATCACATAGCGACATATTGTGACTCAGAGAAAAACATAGTGACAACTGTACGAGTTTTGTTTGCAAAGAATTGTAATATGCATAGTTGAATAACTACA